GCGCAGAAGCGTCGCATGTGCAGGAGCGCACCTAAACCGGTAGTAAAAAAATTGGCAACCCACCACTGGTGCTGTGCAAGGAAAGACTTGGCACAGAGTCTCTGAGATTCACGGACAGATCTTCACACTCTTGAAATGAATCTAACAACCAAACGAACGAATTGTTTCCTACAAAAGCCCACTCCCCCTTTGCTCCTCTTTTATTTCCTATGGGAGGGGCCAATCATCTTCCACCTGTGACTTTACTCCCAAGTCTACCCTGGTTTCTGAGTTGTTCTTTTCTTCTGGCAGCTCTGCACATGCGCACACTGGGGACAGGCTCCAGCTGTTCCTCTGCCTCACTGCTGTCTAGCTCCAAAGGCAGCTGAGAACTGCCAGACAGCCTTGGCCCCACCTCATCCGAGCCTTCCCCAACCTCCTCACTGTCTGACTCTGCTGCCAGCTCTGCTGGCCACTGGATGGCCAGAACAGGGACCAGAAGGGGACCACAATTTCTAGAGGTAGGGGCAATTGGGACCAGAATTTCAGTTGTTAAACACGATGTTGTTAAATGAAATATGCCCACTTTTATTATCTTTTTGCCACAGTTGCTAAGTGAATCTCTGCAGTTGTTAAGTGAATTGCATGGTCGTTAACTGAATCAGGCTTTTCCCATTGACTGTGCTTGTTGGAAGCCACCTGGGAAGGTTGCAAAAGGCTCCAGGATGCTGCAACCATTGTAAATACATGCTGGTTGCCAAGCCTCTGAATTCTGATCACGTGACCATGGGAATATTGAGTCAGTTGTAAGTGCAAAGACCTCTCATAAGTCAGTTTTCAATGCCGTTGTAACTTCGGCTGCTAAATAAACTTGTAAGTCAAGAACGACGGTACCTGTCCATGCAGCAGAATTATCTGCTATCAGGAAAAGATACTGTTCGTCTCCATGTAGTGCAGGGGTGTCAAACTCAAGGCCCAGGGGCCAGATCCAACCCATGCAGTGTTTAGATCTGGCCCGTGGGGCCACCCTGGAAACAGCAAAGGACCAGCTCGCAGTGCCTCTGCCAGAAAAAACGGAGCTAGGGAGGGCCATGTGCGAATCTCCCAAGCTCCATTTTTGCTGGCAGAGGGTTGCAGGAGGCCGTCGCAGCTGAAAATGGAGTTGTTGCAGGCCTCCCGAGCTCTGCTTTCACTGGCAGAGGGCTGCAGGAAGCCATTGCAGCCGAAAACGGAGCCCGGGAGCACGTTTTTGCTAGCAGAGCCCTTGGGCCTCCATAGGCGCCCCAACACAAGTGATGTTGAGCTGGCCATGCTCCCTCTGCTCCCCCGAGGTCAAACACGGCCCCCATGCATCCCTCTATGAAATTGAATTTGACACCCCTGATGTAGAGTGTGAAAGAATATCCTCCTCTTTGTAATTTTCAGGTTCAGTGTTCTGGATTGCAGACCACATTCTAAGCATGTGTAATTGCTGACTGTGGCAAGTTCCCCATGCATGTGTGATTGTGGCTTAACAGGCCGTAGAACCAATCCAGGTCTTATGGTTTTGCAAACTACCATTTATGGTTTATACTATGGATGAATGTGGCCAATGGCTGTTATAGTGTAGTACATGCTTTTCTTGTCTTAATGTTTTTAGAAGCGTTTAACAGTTTTATCAGTTGAACAGAAAATTATAATGACTCAGTAGATTAGAAGTAACATTCTAGGGCTACTAGATTTCAGGGAGCATTTTTCTAAATCTCTTTACCCGTTGAGTATCACCCAGATCTTTGCAGTATAGATCTGGTAGCCTTATATTCCTCTAAGAAAAGGAACCATTCAGCATCCATCTGAATTAGTAAAGGTGAAAAGAAATTGTGCCATTTTTTTAAAAGCTAAAGATAAAACACAAGCAATTTCTTATGATGGGAACCAGTGGTGGGTTCCGGATCCCGTTGCAACCGGTACGATCCCGTTGCAACCGATACCGGCCTGGCGTTCCCCACATGCATGCGTGCAGCATACACATGCAGCATGTGCATGCGTCCTTACCTACACAACGCCTCTGTGATGCCTCTGCGATGCTCCAGCTGCTTGGCGGAGCATCACATGCACGGAAGCACCAAAGAGCTCAAATACAGGTAAGGAACTCAGGCGGGTGTGTGGGCCCTCCAGAGCGCCATACCGGAACGGTACCCATTGCTCCTGGCAGGCACTGGTAAGCCCGGGGTGTACCGGCTGCAACCCACCACTGATGGGAACCTTGATCTTTTGTCTTTCACAGAACAACAGAGTTGATAGTGACCTTGGAGTTCTTCTCACCTCCTGCTCAGGCAGGAAGCCCTGTACCATTTCAGACAAATGTTTGTCTAATCTCTTCTTAACTTCCAGTGTTGGAGCATTCACAACTTCTGGAAGCAAGTTGTTCCANCCTCAGCTCCTGAACAAAAAAGGGGGATCACATGCTTCCAGATGTTGGGAAAACAGGGGGAGGAAAAAGGGCTTGCTGAGAGTTCCTGGGTTTTTTATACTCTCTGTTCGGCCCCACCTCTCTGTTTCCTGTTCCTGTGTAAGAAATGTATTCTGATTGGTTGTCAAACTCCCAGGAGAGGGTTTTTTTAAGCTAACTTTGTAGATTGTGTGTCAAGTCCCAAGCTTGGTTGAGTTCCCAGATGCCATGTGGTGAGTTTCTGTTGCGGATGGGTCTGCCTGAAGGAGGTAGATCTTTGTTATGTAGATTAGGACTTTTAATGGCCCATTGACATAGAGCTATTAAGTGATAAGCTATTAACAGAGTGAGTCTGTTTCTTGCCTAAAAACATGTTTCTCTGGCTCCTCATTGACAAAGGTGAGGGGGGAATGAGTTTCTGCCTCCCTTTACGGGGAAATATTCCGCCCTTTTAATATTTCCTAAAGCATTTCATTCTTCTAGGAGACGGGTGGGTGTTAACTTCCTACAGTATGATATGAGCAATGTATATTTAAATGCCATACTGTAACTAAAGTTTCTCTTTGAGAAGTTTCATTCTGCCCCTCTGTATGAAAGTAAGTAACCCTTCTTGTTGGAAATCATCTGCTGAAAGGACATAAATTATTTTTTAAATCTGGTATTAGTGGAGCTAAGAGAATCTAAGAAATCCTCCATATTGGTATCCTTTACTGACAAAGGGAATTCTGCACACTTTTGCTTAAAGGATGTTTTGAAAGTATTACAGCCAAGTAAGTCTCCCCCATTCAAGAATAGGAAAAACCTTATCCAGAAAGAAAAGATTTGACTCTTCCTTCCCCTGCTTTGACCCAAGAAAGAGAAGGAACCTTTTCTTTACTATAGCTTGGAGTGCTTTACTATTCACACTATAAGTTCCTCCATATTGACTCACCTCTATCAGCCAGAAAAAAATAGGTCACTAATAGCTACTTTGATCTTTTGTATTCAAGGGCTTTTTAGACAGAATTTCAAGAATAGTTTTTCTGAAAACTATTTTCTCTGGTTTGCGTTTTTTGAAAGAAGAGGTAGGGGAAAATGCTGGATGGGTTCCAAATAGCATCCAAAATAAAATCAGAGTCTGAGGCAAAAGCTACCCCAAAGTTCCTATTTATTAAGAGAGCCATATTGGCACATCTAGGAAAACCTGAATCTGAAAGCTTCAATATTTTCCCTCCCAGTTGAAAGTTCAAGATCCTGCCCCCACACCCACAAGTCCATCACATGGTTCAATCTTCCACTGCCACAGAGTCCACCCATCCAGTTCTGGCCAGGTGCAGAGACAAAGAATGACCTTGAGTTTCTAAGAAGAATGTTGTTATGGATACATATCACCAACTCCATATAATCCCCCCTCCCATTTTCCCACAGTAGAAAGTTTGGCAGGCCTGAAGTCCAAAAAGAAAAGATGGCTTGCAGGCATGACATCGGATTCCATTAAAGTAGGAAATGGACCTTTCTCATGCCACAGTTCTAACTTGTGAATAGATACATTGCACTGATTATGTTGATTTAGTTTGGAATTCTAAACATGTGATTGTGGCCTTTCTTAGTTCCCCTCTTCACAAATAAATGCTTTTATTTTGGAACTTGGTCTGTATCACTGAAATCAGGCATTTCTTATTAAAGCCTTGCTCATAGAACAAGCCTCGTTGATTTCATGGTTCTACTCCTTTGTTTTTTTTAAGATTCTGGAGTATTTTCTATCCTTTGGCTTTGAAAAAACAATTTCCAAGCTCCTTTTTTTCTCAAGAGCTCTAGAGCTAGAAAGAAGGAAAGAATGTATCTACAGCAGGTGAAGCTAGGCAAAATCACACATGTTACATGTACAATTAGCACAGGAGCCCCCCCCCCACCTCTCTCTATACACCAATGACTGCATCTCAAAAGATCCCTCTGCCACACTAGCCATGTGGTGCAACAAGAACAATCCAGACACAGTGCCGGGGCATCCGAACTATCCGAAGGATAGTTTTTCCCCGAATGCCATCACTCTGCTAAACAACTAATACCCATTACAATATCCATGTCAAATTATCTACTTAAGATTATATTACTATTATTCTTCTTATCCTTACCAGTACCTATCTCTTCCTACTTATTGCTATATCCATGTTCCTTCTATCTTTAAAACTTATATTGTTTTTATTGTTTCTTAAGTGTTGTATCTTATGATTCTTGACAAATATATTTTATTTTTTCTTTATGTACACTGAGACCATTTGCACCAAAGACAAATTATGTGCCCAATCACACTTGGCCAGTAAAGATTTCTATTCTGCAGTATTTAGCACCACTTTAGTAATCCATCCTTCCTTCCTTCCTTCCTTCCTTCCTTCCTTCCTTCCTTCCTTCCTTCCTTTCTTCCTTCCTTCCTCAATGAGGAACCTTTGGAAGAAAAGCTCTAGAAATAGCAAAACATCATCCCTTTACTATGAAATCAATTTTTTCCTACTCCATCAAGGGACAAACATAAGTCTCAGAGTTTAGAGTTTGATGCATATGGAGACATAGGTTTGACATCCTAAAACTCTCAAGTTGACTTTCATTTTTAGGAACTATCTGGACCCAGAATATTGTATGCTTGATTTTGTACGAAGGCCATCGGAATGGAACAGAAAATATTTCCATATCACATCGTGGTGCATCCATAGAATACAACCTACACAATGTGGATATCACCCAGATGCCATCACCTCGTATCATCATGTCCCATCTGCCATATTACCTAGTTCCCAAGAAACTGAAGGCCAAAAAGGGAAAAGTAGGTCAATCTTGTTATTCTATTCTGATTATAAAAACGAGTTAGCTGAAAAATGCAATAATTGTATAAGTATATGTGTATATTTATGCATATATGTGTAGATATACATGTAGGAGAAAAGCAGGAATGAACATGAGTACAGATTATAGGAGGAAAAGCACAAAACATCTACATTATATATAAATTAATTGCATAAATTGATCGGTGCTCTTACCCATTTTTTCTCAAGGTACTGATTCATTAAAGATTTAATTATTTGAAATTATGGCCCTGCCTGAACTATTTGGAAATGAAATTTCACAAGTGATTTTGCATCCTTGTTTTTAATGAAAACTTACACAGAAAATGGCCCAAACAATTAGAGCAGGGGAAAAAAATCCACTTTGCTATAAACCAAATGATAAACAAAAATCAAGTAGGGAGAAATACAGGCATAGGTGGTATAGGAATAGAAAATGGCTTAATGGTGGACGAATATCTACAAAAGGAACATTGAATGCAAGAGAAATCCCTGTCACAAACTGAAGTGGGAAAGAAAACAGAAGCAAGGCAATAGCTCTCAGGAACTAGAATTATGGCTATTCAATGAGAAGTCTAAGGAAGAAGTATCCTTGTCGTTGGGTCCAAGAGATGCTGGGAAAAAGTCAGAGCTCAAGAAAAGGCAATTGGAAGACATCAAAGCTTTTGGGGGCTTTTCAAAAACAATCAATGTTTTCTTGATCAGCTGTATGTTTATAGCACTGAAATCCAAGCTCTGATAAGAACACACATGTAATATTTCATCCAGTTTTGGACCCCCACCATATCAAAAAGTTGTTGAGTTCTAGGAAGAATGCAGAGAAGAGCAATAAAGATGATTAGTGGGCTGGATGTTAAAGCATATGAAGAACGCTTGCAGGAATTGAGTATGTTTAGTCCAGTGACAATAAGATTAGGGGCAGGGGTGGGTTCCTGCCAGTTCTAACCTCTTCTATAGAAGAGGTTCCACAAATCTACCATGCTGTTTAGAACCGGTTCCAGCTCCCTCTCCCCGTCCGTCCGTACCATGCTTGACTTGCCCGCCGCTCACTGATTGGCTGGCTCACCAATCGCCCTNTTATAGTAGTTTATTAGAAAATGTTTGATTAAGATGTTAAATTAATGATTTTAAGCTTCATTTAAAAATAGTTATGTGACATTTTATTATTAACAGGTATAGCACATGTGCATTGTTTCATTTAAAAAAAAAGTCATGTGGATGCAAGGATAAAAAAAATGCATATATTTGTTTAGGATTAAACCAGTTTGACTTCATATGTTAACCAGAACATTAAAGTTATAAGTGCTATTAAAATGGATGATTAATGCAGTATTTATTATGGTCATCTAATAAAATCATTAGAATATCAACTAGCTATGTACATTTGTAATTACTATAAACTAGGAATCAGAAGGAGCCGAGTAGCATCTCACAAAAGCTTTTGCTTCTTAATAAAAAGTGTTATGGGATGCAGTAGCCCAATGGCTAAGACGCTAATCTTATTGATCAGAAAGGTTGGCAGTTTGGCTGTTCAAATTCTTAGCACCACGTAATGGAGTGAGCTCCCCTTACTTGTCCCAACATCTGCCAACCTAGCAGTTCAAAAGCATGCAAAAATGCAAGTAGAAAAATAGGGACCACTTTGGTGGGAAGTAACAGCTCTCTGTGCGCCTTCTGCCTTTAGTCTTTCTGGCCACATGACCATGGAGACGTCTTCGGACAGTGCTGGCTCTTTGGTTTGAAACGGAGATGAGCACCAACCCCTAGAGTCAGGAACAACTAACACATATGTACGAGGAAAACCTTTAGCTTTACCTTTAAAAAGTGTTAATTTGGAAAGATGGTATCAGACTCCTGATTTTTTGCTATCCAAATTAACACAGTTCTTCTCATACAGTGCAAACAAGGAGTATTTACCCACTACTCATTTAGTAACAGAGTTCCTTTCCAACAATCAGGTCTGAAATGGAAATGGTTGCTAAGTGAGCACATGATTGAAAGATATTTTTTTTCTTATGAATTATATCAAGGTTTATTTGTTTATTTTATATTTCACATTTGTGAGTCACCCATCTCCCTCAGAGAGGGATTCTGGTTGATGTACAATAAAATAAAGGATGAAAATATAAGACAGTATAGAAAAATTAAAATGTTAAAGTTAAATTGCATAATTAATTTTTTTTTAAATGATAACATTTTTCAAGAATAATACACCCTGTTAAAATTATTTGATAAAGGCAAAGGGAGGATTTTCATGGCATCAATCAACCCCATGACTGGATGCTGCACTAGGCTCCCCATGCAAGCCCAATAGAGCCATGTTTTAACCCCTTTTCAGAAAGCAGAGTGGTGGCCCACCTCACCTCCAAGGGAAGAATATTCCACGGGGTGGAGGCTAATATTACTTTGTGGAGTGCTTTGTTTTGAGCACACGAAATCATAAGTGTGTGGATTGATTGGAAAATGATTTTGTAATTGCCATTTTATTTGCAAATAGTTGCTAACTGAGGTAGTTGCCCAACAAAAAGTAAGATGATTCGGGGATTGAAGACTAAACATATGAAGAATAGTTGGGTATGTCTAGTTTAATAAAAAGAAAGAAGAAGTGGTGACATGATGGTAGTGTTCCAATATCTAAGGGGCTGACACAAAGAAGGAGGGTCAATCTATTCTCCAAAGCACATAAGGGTAGGACAAGAAGCTTTGGATGGAAACTAATCAAGGAGAGAAGCAACCTAAGGAGAAATTTCTTGAGAGTTACAACAATTAATAAGCAGAACAACTTGCCTCCAGAAGTTGTGGGTGCTCCAACACTGAAGTTTTTTAAAGAAGAGATTGGACAGCAATTTGTCTGAAATGGCTTGAGCAGGGCATTGGACTAGAAGAGCTCCAAGGTCCCTTCCAATTCTATTATTAAGACTTTTTCCTTATTCTCTGCAGAAAGCAAGATAAAGTGCAGATCCTCAACTGAACAAGATAATGAAACTATATCTAGCGATTTGCCTTTTTAAATAATTTTTTAAAAGGTTGTGTTTTACATAAATGAAAAATCTCTACATAGATTGACCCAATAAAAAACACAAGACAACTCTGAGTCAATTGTGTGGTCCTTGATGTTCTCTAAGCTTGGTAGTTTCTTGCAGACCCAACTTACCCAACTAGATAACATCCTGAGTACTACAAAGGAGTGTGGACTTTGCCTAATTTATATAGAAGTGGCTTGTCCTGCCAGTGTTGGAAGAAGTGTTCTTGGTAATTTCTCTATTTGGCTGTTGTTTACTGTGTGACTATCTAAGTTAGTGGTTCCTTGATTAGGGTATTATTTATTGGTGATCGCCAATTATATAATGGACTTTATTCACTATATAATTAGCTGTTCACTATATAAATATTACTATATAATTCAAGTGCATATATTGCAACAATCACTCCACAGTCTCCACAACATACTGTATATACTCAAGTATAAGCCTAGTTTTTCAGCCCACTTTTTGAGCTGAAAAAAGCCGCCTCGGCTTATACTCGAGTCAGTGAAAAATTTGCCTGAAATGGAGGAGAAAAAGGGGTGGGGCCATGCCGCTGGGTGACGCTCGTGAATGGCCCAGCGCCCCTGAGTTTCCCCTCCCTCTGTGTCAGTTTGCCGCGCAGCGTGCACCGCACCATCCCCCCTCCTCACGTTCTAATGTAATGCAGGGCTATCTTACGATTCCCCTTCCTCCCCCTCCTGCCGCTCTGCAACGATGTCCCACCTCCTCCTTGTTATGGCAAGCAGCCACATAGCGATGTCCCACCTCCTCTGGTACAGTGATCCAATGATAGGAATCACTGTGCCGTGTGTCATAGGAGGCGGGACATCATCATCACAGCGGGACATCAGCATCATGAGGTGAGTGAAGTATTTAATTGAATACACCGCTAGTTTACTGTTTTTCTTTGAAATAAATATTCAAAAACATTATTGGTATCTATTTTTATTTTTGAAATTTATCGGTAGCTGCTGCATTTCCCACCCTAGGCTTATACTCGAGTCAATAACTTTTCCAGTTTTTTGTGGTAAAATTAGGTGCCTCGGCTTATATTCGGGTCGGCCTATACGCGAGTATATACGGTACCTTAGACTGAAATTTTTAATAACTTAATCAATGAAGAGAAGCTAGAATTGAAGGGCTGAAAATGAAATTCCAAATGTTCTAGAAACTTATAGCATAAATAGGATTTTTTTAAAAAACAATCATCATTCCAATAAAAAATTTCTTAGTTTTTCTTTGGAAACATTTTGCTTCTCATCCAAGAAACAATAAGAAAATAAAAATTGGGTTTTCTAAATTGCATGATCTCCTAAAACACCTTCAACATCAGTCTCCACTAAATTCTGCGGAATACTTTAAAATCCCTCTTTTCTTTCCATCAAAGAATGGTCATACCAACATATATTTTTATTAGTTTTTCTCAAATTAAGTTCAAAAAGTTTCTCCATGTCCTGGGTATGTGTAACAGCTATAAAAAAATCCAACTTCCTTATTTTCCTTTTGATAACTTTGAAGACCTTAAATGTAACTTTTTGAGTTCCAGTTTTAACAGTTGTAGAAAAAAAATTAGACTTTTTCCACATTGTTTTCTCTTGGGGATCATAGCTGAAGAAGGTTGCCAAATGTATATTATTGAAACAATAATTGCAATAATTATAAAGTGAGAGATCTTGACCCTGTTTATGCTGCTAGCATTAAGGAAAGAAAAAAAACCCTCTAATTTCTCTTTTATTGTAGCCCTGTTATTATGCAAAAAGTCAAAACTGAAGAATTATTCAACTATAAAGGGTATAATTTATCAAAAGAATTAATGAAACCTGAATGTCTGGAAGCATTAGAAGATTTCGAAATGAGGGATAGTGACATATTCATAGACACTTATCCAAAGTCTGGTAAGAATTCTGTAAAATTGTTGGAAGAAATGTCCTTCTGGGTTCCGTTCCAAGTGGGAAAAAGGACACTGGAAACATGGAGACTGCTTGGAAAAATGGCTTAATGGTGGACAGGATCACATGGCCTCAGCTCCTGAACAAAAAAGGGGGATCACATGCTTCCAGATGTTGGGAAAACAGGGGGAGGAAAAAGGGCTTGCTGAGAGTTCCTGGGTTTTTTATACTCTCTGTTCGGCCCCACCTCTCTGTTTCCTGTTCCTGTGTAAGAAATGTATTCTGATTGGTTGTCAAACTCCCAGGAGAGGGTTTTTTTAAGCTAACTTTGTAGATTGTGTGTCAAGTCCCAAGCTTGGTTGAGTTCCCAGATGCCATGTGGTGAGTTTCTGTTGCGGATGGGTCTGCCTGAAGGAGGTAGATCTTTGTTATGTAGATTAGGACTTTTAATGGCCCATTGACATAGAGCTATTAAGTGATAAGCTATTAACAGAGTGAGTCTGTTTCTTGCCTAAAAACATGTTTCTCTGGCTCCTCATTGACAAAGGTGAGGGGGGAATGAGTTTCTGCCTCCCTTTACGGGGAAATATTCCGCCCTTTTAATATTTCCTAAAGCATTTCATTCTTCTAGGAGACGGGTGGGTGTTAACTTCCTACAGTATGATATGAGCAATGTATATTTAAATGCCATACTGTAACTAAAGTTTCTCTTTGAGAAGTTTCATTCTGCCCCTCTGTATGAAAGTAAGTAACCCTTCTTGTTGGAAATCATCTGCTGAAAGGACATAAATTATTTTTTAAATCTGGTATTAGTGGAGCTAAGAGAATCTAAGAAATCCTCCATATTGGTATCCTTTACTGACAAAGGGAATTCTGCACACTTTTGCTTAAAGGATGTTTTGAAAGTATTACAGCCAAGTAAGTCTCCCCCATTCAAGAATAGGAAAAACCTTATCCAGAAAGAAAAGATTTGACTCTTCCTTCCCCTGCTTTGACCCAAGAAAGAGAAGGAACCTTTTCTTTACTATAGCTTGGAGTGCTTTACTATTCACACTATAAGTTCCTCCATATTGACTCACCTCTATCAGCCAGAAAAAAATAGGTCACTAATAGCTACTTTGATCTTTTGTATTCAAGGGCTTTTTAGACAGAATTTCAAGAATAGTTTTTCTGAAAACTATTTTCTCTGGTTTGCGTTTTTTGAAAGAAGAGGTAGGGGAAAATGCTGGATGGGTTCCAAATAGCATCCAAAATAAAATCAGAGTCTGAGGCAAAAGCTACCCCAAAGTTCCTATTTATTAAGAGAGCCATATTGGCACATCTAGGAAAACCTGAATCTGAAAGCTTCAATATTTTCCCTCCCAGTTGAAAGTTCAAGATCCTGCCCCCACACCCACAAGTCCATCACATGGTTCAATCTTCCACTGCCACAGAGTCCACCCATCCAGTTCTGGCCAGGTGCAGAGACAAAGAATGACCTTGAGTTTCTAAGAAGAATGTTGTTATGGATACATATCACCAACTCCATATAATCCCCCCTCCCATTTTCCCACAGTAGAAAGTGTGGCAGGCCTGAAGTCCAAAAAGAAAAGATGGCTTGCAGGCATGACATCGGATTCCATTAAAGTAGGAAATGGACCTTTCTCATGCCACAGTTCTAACTTGTGAATAGATACATTGCACTGATTATGTTGATNAGGCCAGCCTGCCCCCTTCTTGTCTCCCACCCCCCCTTCCCAACGGGACAAGAAGGCGGAGGGCTGGTCTTGCAAACGGGGATCAGCGCACTCGCCGCCTCCCCCTCCCCAGGGAGGAGCTCTGCAGCGAGACAGACGAACGGAGGGGGAGATCACCCCTTCCTCCTCTGGGCCCCCAAACCCTGTCTTCCCTGGCCTGCACCCCTGCGCTGGAAAGACGAGCAAAACGCGCAACTTGGTTAACTCTTAAAAGGCAAAAAATTCCTTATGCAAAGGAGGCCCATAATTCTCTAGCCTCCTCCAACAGTTAGCACTAAGCAGACTCAGAGTCACTGTGAATTGGAGTCTGGGAGCAACTACCTTGGCCTTTTTAATTATTTTAAAATTTGTTTCCTTTTCCTCAGGAGACTGGTGAGGCTCCGCCTCCCCTGCCTCTAGTGACTGCACATCACTAGGCATGACACTATTGAACTTGTTTTTGACTGCTTTGGAAATAAAAATCTAATAGAGGTATTTGTGGGTGTTGAGTTTTAAAACCAGCTCCTTAAACACATGTTTAACGGATTGGGGGGGGGGGAGCTGTAGGTAGATTCACAAAATTAAAATGCAACAAATCAATAAAACCAAATAATTTTATATCAGAAAACAACAGATATACCTTAAGGCAGGTCGGCACAATATAGAACCTGCCAAACAGCCTTTGCTGCCCGTTGGCATTTTTTTAAAAAAATCAATAAATTTACTGTTGCCCCAAGAAACACACTGTTGAGTGTCTCCAATGCTCTGCTAGCTGGCAAACAGCTGATCAGTATTCCTTTGCAGTCAACAATGATCTTGAATTGATCTATGTGGTCCAGTGGTGAGATTCAAGTAATTTAACAACTGGTTCTTCCTAGTGACTGCTTGGGTGAGCGTGGCTGGGGTAGTATCATGTGACTGAGTGGGCCAACTCAACATCACTCATGACAAGGTGGTGCAGTGCAGGTGGGGCGATGCTGCAGAGACAGGGCAATCTCCCATGTACCATTCCAAGCACCTTCCCCCCCCCCCAGGGCTGACAAAATAAAAGCCCATCTAAAGATCGTGACTGCCTGCCGAGCCTGCCTGGCACATGCAAGCAAAAGGAGGCTGTGGGGGGAAGAGAAGGGCCAATGGAAACGCCCTGTTTTCTGCCTCCATTGGGCTGTCGGCGCTGCGCTGGATCGGGATGGTGAGGTGGGGGGGGGGGAGAAAGCAAAAAGCCCATTTGGTCCATATGTACACACCAGCATGATGGAGAATCTCCCTTCCAGCTCGCTGGTTTGGGCATTTGGAGCTTGAGGGGTAGATTGTGCATCCTGAAGTCTGTCTGCTGCTTCTCTAAGCCTGGCTCTGGCTGCAGCTGTCCATCTGCCAATTTTCTTCCAGCACGCGTGTGAGGAACCAGGAGCTTAGTGAGATCATATTGCATGCTTTTACCTCCAAGCAGCCCAGGCTAGAAACTGCAAGGCTGGTGCAGAGTAGTCCTCTTTAACAAGCTGAAAAATGTTGCTGCTCCTACAAGCCTGGGTACCCTGCACGAGTTCTGGAAGAAAGGGAGTGCACATGGAGCATCTCCCCGAGTGCCAAAGGCATACCCAACCCCAACCAGAAACACTACGGCCGTGAGATATTGCTTGATCCTGCAGCCGCTTCTTGTGGCCCTTGTTGGTGCTGGGCATGCCTTGGGTGCTTGGGCAGACACCCATGTGCTCTCCAGGTTGACGGCTTCTCTTCCCTGCTGCTCTTGCTGGTGGCCTGCCAGGAGAGCATCTTGCGCAGCACAGTGAAATTTAGTAGCCATGAGCTGCCACTTTCCTCTAAGACCCATCTGGAAAGCGCTGCAGCAAAGAGAAGCAGCCAGATTAAATGCTGCTTCTCTCTGCCGCAGTGCTTTCCAGATGGGACTTACAGGACTCAAAGCGGTGGCTCACAGCTGCTAAATTTCACTGTGCTGCACAAGATGCTCCAGCAGTCCACAAAACAAGAGCAGCAGCAGAGAGAAGCAGTTGGGTTGGGCCAGTATCTCAGGAGAGCACGATGACTGGGGAGCCAGGAAAGCAGCAAGGGAACTGGAGAGGGCCTAAGTGAGAGTGTTGGCTGGGGAGCCAGGAAAGCGGCTGAGGAAACCAGAGAGCTGGGGGTGCTATGTGATCTAGGGTCTAGAGGAGCTGAGATGACTGACGAGCAAGGCAAGCGAGCGACCAAAGCAGACAAGGCAAGAAAAGAAGTGGCTGTAAGAGACAGGGTAGGCGGGGCAGTGAGGGGCAGACTGGGCGGGGCAGCCAGTTGTCCACCGAACCACGCAGAATCTTAACAACCATTTCATGTGAACCAATCCAAACCAGCTGAATCCCACCTCTGATGTGGTCTCTTCCATTCTACAATTTACCACAACATCAGTTTACCACAACACTTTTCCACATCATTCCCCACATAAAGGGTGTGTGTGTGCTTAGTCTAAGCCTGGGAAAAAAGCCAAGTGTTTAAAGTTCACTTCAAGGCAGAAAAAGTCAAGAAGAGTTGCATTTCTAAGAGAATGGTTGTTTACAGAGCAAATACTATGATAAGGAAGGCCAGCTTCCCTAGTCCTGCTAGAGATGATCAACAAATTCCAAACAGCTAGCTCTCTCTCACAGGCATTACAAAACACCAAGCGTTTCTCAAATACCTGGGCCATGTAAGGTTATGTAGGCAATACCTGTAGCCTGAATTATGCTCTGGAACTTACTAGTAACCAATTCAGCTGATGAAACAGTGGTGGTTATAACAAGGCCTGCTTGTACAACTGTAGCCCCATGTAGAGTATGTAGCAACCCACAAGGTGATCAAAACATGAGTGATGGAAGGAGAGGCCCAGTAACCACTTTACCCCATGGATTTTGGTAGTTTACTTTGATTTTTTTTTTAATAAATGTTTTTTAATTTTAGTTTAAAACGGGTACAGCATCTTTCTTTACATCTGTAGAAAATGTATCAATCAATTACAGATAAGTTTTGGTACATCTCCTCCACAGTCAACCAACATAACTCATATTAACTCAAGCATTATTNACTAGGGGTGACATGATAGCAGTTTCCCAATATTTGAGGGGCTGCCACAAAGAAGACCAAAGGACCTGAAGGCAGGATAAGAAGCAATGGATAGAAACTGATCAAGGAGAGAAGCAACCTAGAACTAAGGAGAAATTTTCTGACAAATGAGAACAATTGACTACTGGAACGGCTTGCTTCCAGAAGTTGTGGGCACTCTATCCCTGAAGGTTTTTTAAAGAAGAGATTGGAGAGCCATTTGTCTGAAATGGTATAGGACAGTGATGGCAAACCTTTTTTGGCTGGCGTGCCAAAAAAGCACAGCAGCCAAGGGGATCGCGCGCCGGTGTACCACACCCATAATGCTATGCGTGCCCCCCCATGCGTACACATGAACGTGATCAGTGAATCCCCCCCACTTTTGCCGCAGTTATTTCGCCTTCCCCAGGCTACAGAGGCTTCCTAGGAGCCTGCGGAGGACAAAAACAGCCTCCTCCAGAGGCCTCAAGAGCTTACCTGAAGCCTCCGGAGGGCAAAAAATGGACATACAAGGAACCCAGAAATTCAGGAATGGTGACTTCTGGTTTGTCCGTAGAGCCGATTTTTGACCTCCGGAACCTTCAGGAGGCTTCCCTGAAAGCTCCGGAGGGTGAAAAACGGACCTACGGACAAACCAGAAGTCACCATTCCCAAACTTCCAGGTTCCCCATAGAGCTTCCTTTCTTTCTCCGCCTGCCCCAACAAGTGAAAAAGCCACTGGCCACTAAACCGCCCGCTCGCCCATATTCAAACCAGCCTGCCTCCTCTCTCCCAGCATGGGCTCTCTGGAGGGGAGGGGAGGTCCCTCCCAAGCCCGGCTTCTTTTCTTCACTCCTACGGCGTCAATCCGTAGGGGGAGGGCATGGATCGTTTAGGTATGACAGGAAAATGGAGGGGTTTTTTGCCAGCCTCCCAGATGGCAGCTTTTGGTGAATCCGAAGTGGGAGCTGCTTCTTGCCATCACTGAGAGCATCACCACCAAAAGTGACTGCAGCAGCAACAGGATGTGCTTGGGGCAAGGAGCGCTGGAACTGACTGCCCGGGATTATGCTTCAGCCACTACTGTGAAAATGTCAGTTTTGCCAGTTGGGAGGCGGGCTGGTTTGAATGCGGGGAAGTGGTTTGGGGTCGGCATGTCCTTCACTCGTTGGGGTGGGCGGACAAAGAAAGGAGGCATGTGATAAAGCACCCCAGCCATCAAGGGCAAAGGGGAGCGCCTTCGCACTTGGCTATCGCATGGCTCCCTTCTTTCTCCGCCCACCCGAATGAGCGAAGGAGGCACTGGCCACTAAACCACTCGCCTGCCTATGTTCAAACAGGATGCCTCCTCTCTCCACATAGGCTCTCTGAAGGGGGAGGGAAGTTCTCTCCCAAGACCTACTTCCCTTACCTTGCGGCACAATTCCAGGATGACAGGGTATTCTTTTTTTTTGCTAGTATAGGGGCATAGCCTCAACCCCTGTCTTCCTGCCGCCTGCAGTCCAGCCCCGTGCAATCTCCCCACCACCCCACTTACCTGGGAACACTCCTATCTGCAGTTGGCTTTCTCCAAGCAATCCTTCCTGGCTGCGCCCTCAGAGTGGTCACATGGTGGCAGTGTGCGGCTGCTGACTGATCCAGGGTCCACCTGGACGCCCAGCTAGGAAGGATCACCAGGAGAAAGCCAACTGCTGCCGATAATGGGGCATGAAGGAGCAGCCGCCCAGCAGCTGTTATATCCTTTGCAGACGCCCAGGGAAGCTCAATGTCCTGCCTCCCTGCCATCTCCAGTTAAGCCCTGCATAATCTTCCTGCCACCCCACTGACCTGGGGATACTCCTGGCTCTGCTTGACAGCCATTCCTTCGCGTCCTGTTGTCGGCTGCAGTTGGCTTTCTCCTGGCAATCGTTCCTGGCTGGGAGAGACCCTCCAGGGCAGCCCTGCCACTCTGGTGGCACACTGTGCCCCCAAAGCAGTCACATGGTGGTGGTGGGCAAGCTTATAACCAACCTAGGGTCTGCTCCAACCTCAGCTCCTCTGAAGAAGCCCCGCGCCCACTTCCTTCTCTTTGGGAAGTGGTTTGCAAAGTCCCGGTTTTGCAAAGTACTTATCAAAGAGAAGGAAGCACAGGCTTCTTCCAACAGCTGAGTCCGGCAAAGGAAGTGGGTGGGTGGGGCAAGCATGGTACCGACAGGTGGGGCAAGCGAGCAGTGACTGGACGGGTGGAAGCGAACAGTGGGGCAGGCCAGAGGAGGGACTGTTCTGGTACAGGGCCTCTAGAGGCCCCAGTACGGGAACAGACACAAAATTATTCCAAGCAGTACATGCATATTGGACCGAACCAGATGAAACCAACCTCTGAGACTGATCCATTAAAACAAAAAACAACTTTGAGTCAATTGTATTCTCTAAATTGTTCTCTAAGCTTGGTAGTTTCTTGCAGACATTTCATTACCCAACTAGATAACATCCTGAGTGCTAGAAAGGAGTGGAGAACAGTTCCTCCCCTGGCCTGCCCCCCTGTTCACTTTCCCCCATCCAGTCACTGCTCGCTTACCCCGCCTGTCCGCACCATGCTTGCCCCACCCACCCACTTTCTTTGCCGGACTCAGCTGTTTGAAGAAACCTGTGCTCATTTGCTCATTTTATATAGAAGTGGCTTACCCTGCCAGTGTTGGAAGGAGTGTTCTTGGTTGTTNGTTCAAAGAACCCGTCCAAAAATTCTTCGGTATAGAGGAATTTCAGGAGTAGCCTGAAACTCCATCTTCTCACTGCTAAGCCCCGCCTTCTTCCGATCTGGTAGTTTACTTTGATGATGTCACTGATTAACCCTACTGATATGTTCCCATTATACGTTAGTATGTATAATAACTACTTTTTTGTTGACATTCATAGGTATATGAACATTCCTATACTTATGTATGTAGACAATGCCTACATACATAGATAATGTTGTTGGATGATAATTCAAATGATTCTCACAGATAGTTAGAAGACATGTAGAATGAGAAATATTGACTTGAAAATTAATATAAATATGGATTGAATCATTGAACTCTTTGAAATGGTTAAATACGTACAATTAGTAGAATTGAATTAAAGAGCACAACAAGTTTAAAATGTACGAATGCTGATAGATTGGTATAAAGGTAGGAGATAATATGGTGCCCAGCAAGAAGGAATATTTGACAAAGAGTACAGTGAAAATGACTGCATAAAAGAGCATGCTTTGCTCAATTTGTTAAAAGGAATTGAGATTTGGTCAGCAGAAATATAAACTTCAGTTGAGTGGAACTGTAAATAGGTGATGAAACAAGAAGAGTCAACCTTAAGATTTAATAAGTGCTGAATGAATGTGGATTAAATACAAATGAGAGTAAGCTATATAGGAGAAGCACATTTGTTGCAATGACTTAGTCATATTAATTAGGATCAATTAAATAACAAATATTTGAAGGAACAGTGAATGGATGCAGAAGAAGACAGAGAAAATGATAGTTAGATGAAGCTGATAAGATTGGAAAGGTATAGTGCACAGTATTGATTTAGCTTGATTTAACCATAGTTTTATTTCTTCCTCTCCTGGTTGCCTTATTCCTTTTGTGTGCTTTGCATAACATTGCTTGTTCCCCAAGGAAAAAGCATGATGGGAATGGATATATACTAATTGGTTGATTAGCTGGTGTATATCAGTGGTTCCCAACCTTTCTTTTTTGCCATGCCCCTTTAAAATCCTGATGCTCCCCCCTGTGACATATAATTCTTACTTTAGTCAAAAAGTGAACTTTACTCATGTGGAGGAAGTCTAAAAGGCTATTAACGTGGTTTAAACAAGGTTCAAATTGCCCCCATTAAAAATCAAATCCCCCCCGCCCCGTGGGACCTGGGAACCACTGGTTTATATGGTGTCCAGCTCATGATAACATTTCTAGATGAATAACGTAAGATATAAAACACAATAAAGAGCTGAAATACATTAATAAGATCTATAATTGTTGATCTGAAAAATAATAGATATCTGTAATAATCTATTAGAAAACTATCAAGAAAACATTAGGATAATACTGGCCCTAATAGGATGGAGAAAAAGCAGTAGGGTATCATATAACATGTCCCATTACTTCAATACAGGTGTGTGTGTGTATGTGTTTACATCTATGCATGTATATGCATGTAGTTATTTGCAACACATACATACACACATAACTTGTTTCATCTGAAATTGATATAGGTGTAGATCCAGGATCTCCATCCAATTCATTTCCACCAGCGTTTTATCCGCATAAAGAAATAAACGACACTTTTAAAACTTTTAATGCTATTCTATATAATCCTTTCACTCGGAAATCAATTCCAGTGGGTTCAGTGGAGCTTACTCCAAATTAAGGGTATTCTGTAGAAATATTCCAAAAGCAAATAATTCTTCTTCCAGGATCTTAGAGGCGTAGTACTTAAAATATGCAAATTTATTGGAAAAAAGCTGAGCAGCCAGGAAGTGGACAAAGTTGTGGAGATGGCTACATTCAAGAATATGAAAGCGGACCCTAGAGCAAATTTTGTGACAACATATGAAGAGTGTTTTGGACTAACAAACGTAAAGCATATACGCAAAGGTAATACTGACAGAAAAAAAATCAAACTTTGGTTTTTTCCTCTCTCGCATCTAAACGGGGGACAAAAATGCTTCAGAAACCACTTCTTTTTCTCTTGTGTCATCAAGACATTGACTTCTTGTCCCCAGCATATACTTGAGGTAGCTCTATGTCATCCTCAGTGTTCAACGAACATTTCCACTCCTTCAGCAGGCAAAATCCATGTTAGTTTACTGTGAGGAGAGGCGAATTCTGCACTCGCGTGATTCCTGGGGGTAGGATCAGTTCAACTCCCATTGAACAGAAAGGGCATGGCCTTGATTCTCTAGGCCTTGCAGGGCCATTCTGGCTTGGGCAGTGAAGAATCCAGTTCTTTCTGATCAAGCTTTTCCCCTGGATCTTCCAGAACTTGAGGTGTAGCTTTGAAAGGGGGCTGAAACAGGCTGAGAGGTTGTGTTGGAGGAAAGAAAGAAAGAGAGATAGCAATAGCAATAGCAGTAGACTTATATACCGCTTCATAGGACTTTCAGGCCTCTCTAAGCGGTTTACAGAGAG